GGCTTTATGTTGCTGGATCCGACACTCATGTCTGATTAGGGACGGAGCCAGAACCTGATAGTGGGGGCAAGGATTAAAAAAAAATTTATATAGGAAATCAGGCCTCATAAAAACCCCCTTATTAACCAGCAGTCTACACAAAGTAGTATGCCTGACATTGAAAGGAGGAAAAGAATGCCTTTATTTATTACTATAATTGAGAACTAACATACGACAATCAAAGAGATACAACCAGAAGCAAAAAACATTTAGCCTAAAATCCTCTTCCTAGATCAGAAAGCGATAGCTTATCCAATTCCTAACTTAGCCAATTCATCAGCTCCCAATTAGCAGATCTAGGGATGTGCCTAACAATGATATCCCGATCTTGAATAATAGCACAAATTTATTTAACAAGCGATTCAAACAGCGGAGTGCAGGAGCATCCAATCCAAAGCTACAGAGCAATCCGACTCAAGAATGAGTCCCCCCTTATCGCCATAACCCGACTCCACAAAAAGATCGGCGGCCCTGGACCAACACCTTCTGAAAACGAACCTAGAACCACCTCCTCACCATTCCTAATTAAACCCCCAATACCTCCTTTTTGCCACTTCTTATCCAGAGCACCATCCACGTTAATTTTGAGAAAGTCACGTGGAGGAGGAACCCACCGCACTGCCGAAGATTTTACTGACTCCGAACTAGAAACCGAATCTGCTAAGGACAGATCTCCAACTAGACTATCAAAAGGGATCGACAAGTCCGGATATCTGATAACAAACCACGAACTACCCTGAATCTTATGAGGAAAAACAATAGGATTGGATCTAACTTCCCTTTTTCAAAAATGATCTCATTTCGGCATTTCCACACTGACCACATAAGTGCCCCTGGTATGAAGGTCCATATAATCGATCACGGAGAAAGCTCATTCCAAGCAGACAGCAAAGCAGCAGGGTTCTCCGGAACAGCAAAAGAAATATTCCAAAGCCGCATGAATTTTACCCATAATCCCCAAACCACCTCACACTGAACAAAAAGATGAGAAGCAGATTCAGAAAACCTGCCACACAACGGACACGAGGAATCACCAATCCCCTCAACACCTCTCTTCAACAACTCCTTAACAGCTAACTTCTGGTGAATAACCTGCCACACAAAAACTTCAACACGAGGTGGAGCCACTCCTAGCCAAACATGATTAGACCAGAAAGGGTTATTTGCAGACAATGCATGAAAACGACTTAGGCAAGACTTCACCGAAAAACAACCTTCCCCGTTGCCAATCCAAGCCCAACAATCTTCCATCAGATGCGTAGAACTGAAATTGCCTAACATCGAATTTAGATGTAACCATTGTTCTAGGTCCCAGTCCGCAAGATTCCTTATCATTTGAAGGTCCCAAACACAACCTGAAGAGTTGAATGATTTGAAGTCAGCAACTCTACCCCCTTATTAGTTGACAGAATAAATAGCCTCGGAAAACGATCTCTCAATGGAACAGGAGCCAGCCAAGTATCATGCCAAAAAAGGATATTTTCCCCATTACCAACTTTTAACTACTAGTTGTTTCTAAGACAAACACCAAAATCATCTCTTGAATTGAAATTCTTAACCACAACCTCCCATATCCACGAGGCTCGATAGGAGGCCAAGGAATACACCGCAATAGAATTCAGATCCAGGTTATTCACACAACAGACTACCTTTTTCCACCACGAGTCTTTTCAATCACAAATTTCTAGATCCATTTTCCCAACAGCGCTTTATTCAACAAATCCAGATTGGAGATTCTTAATCCCCCAAATGTTTCGGACTACAAACCATAGGCCACTTTATCCAATGAATATTCCTTTTCTCTTGTTAACCTCCCCCCCACCAAAAAAAAAATAATACCGCCGTTATAGAGTTCAATTTCTTTAAAACACTAGCAGGCAGTCTAAAAAGATGGATAAAAAATAAATTGGCAGTGAGCATAACACTGATTTGATCATCACAGCCCTTCCAACTATAGATAATGATGATGCCTTCCAACCAGCCAGCTTCTTAAGGAATCTTTGGATTACCGGTTCCCACAAAGCCATAGAATTCCTCTTAGCCCCTAGAGGGAGACCCAAGTATTCTGATGGAAACGTACCCACCGAGCATCCAGTAGAAGAGGCCCAAACCTTAATTAGGTCAGGATCAACATTGATTCCAAAGATCCCACTCTTTGACAGATTTAATTGTAATCCTGCCATTAAACCTTAAAAAGATGGGGAGGGCATAGTCTCACCCACTTTCCACATAGCTCCGTCACCGTGTCTGATGCATATCTGGATATGGATATGAGATTTTGATCCTTCAAGGACCACCAAATTGAACATATATATTCATGTCGGACAGTGGTAAATGTCCGGCACTTAAAATCGAGTTCGAGTTATATACCCTAGACTAGACCTTTGTTGCCCTATCCCCCGAATTTGAGCAGAAACTCTGCTATTAAGGAATATAAGACCATTGGAGCGCTTGAATCATATGTTACTCGGATTTGGGTGTAAATGTAGGACATTTTAGAACTTTTCCCATGTTTTTGAAGGATCTATGGAGATCATATGGGTTGAACACGAGTGACGGATACAAATACTTCAACAAAAATAAAGAGTTAAAGCAATGCAACGAGGTTTGAATTACTAACAACAGGTTTTGATCGTGCTTTGCAGGTTCCGTATATAATCGATCCGAATACGAATACTCAACTCGGAGATTACAAGAAAATACTGTCATATTTGTTCAATACATATTCCTCAGCAGCCACTGTATAGGTTTTTGACATTTAAGTTCTAATCTATTTTGATCTGTCATGTTAAAAACATTCCCAAACACAGTACAAGTATTAGCAATTGAAACTGTTGTTTTCTGGGAACTTGGTAAACATCCACTCATTTGTATGTGATTTCATAACATGTAAACATGGCAACTATCCGATATAGGTATGGAATATAATCCGTCAAGATTTCTTTAAATATATGTAAAAGAAGTAATCACATGAAAAAACTTTAAAATTTGTAATAATAAGTAATAGTCTAGTAATTATAGACTTCAATTACCCTTTAATTTATTTAATTTAATTCTCAACCATTTGACAATGAACGTTAATTTTCTTGACATCTTTAGTACTCAAACTTGATATCTCAAGAAATAACAATTCCTTTATCATGAGGTCACTTGATTCATGTAATTAAAAATTTATGCATTATGTTATTATTTAGAATCCAATAAACAAATGATGGGTAATTTTTACTAAGTTTTCACATACCATTTAGTTTGGTATTATTTTTGAAAAGTACAGTAAAAAATTATTTTAGAAGTGATTTTGAAAAGTATTTTTGTTTGTTTAGTTTAAAACTTTGAGTATTTGAAATTAATGTTAAAAAGAGATTTTAAATAAGTAAATGACCATTTTATAATTTATATTAAAATTTTAATAATATTTTTTTGAAAGGTATGCCTTGTTAAAGTCCCTTCTCAACTAAAGTGTAAGTTACGATATCAAATATTAGAACGAGAACTAACAATCAGTTGGTTTAGTGGGATGATTCACTAGGTCCCTTAAGCAAAGTCAGAGGTTCGAATCCTAGCGTTTGCGAATGAAACAAACTGGATTGGAAGGATCGCCCTCGTCTATATAATACCGATATGGATTAGTAGATCAATAGATCGGATACTATGATTAATTAAAAAAAATATTAGAAGAGTGTCCAAATGTTATTAAACTTAATGTCCAATTACATCAAATTTCATAAAAAATCAGTCATGACAACTACACAAATAAAAGCAAAGGTACTGTGAATAAGCCACAAGTAACGCCATTGAACCTCACGAAGAAAACTTTAAAACAAAACAGATCCGATCACACTCAAGAATACCTCAATCAGGATCATAATCATCAAAGATGCAGACCGAATCCTTAACTCTACTGTTACTCTCTTTAATCAAAAGGTCAGCAGTAATATTTTGAACACCAAAAATATGTATGATCACTCAACGATCTTTATCAACATTCATTGCCAAACTGTTAACCAAAGAAGAGAACATAGGGGTCGCCTTAGAAGGATCCGCGATCCACTTGACAGTCGCATTCGATAATCAACGGATAAAAAGAATGTCAAGCGAACGCCAAGAAGAGATCAATAGCCTAACGGATCGCCAGAATTTCAACCAACAAAGTTGACCCAAAACCAGCACGACATGAGAAATCCATTAGGATTTCTCCACTATTGTTCCCGAGTAAACCGTTAATACCACATGTGCCATTGTTTCTTAAGCAAGCTCCATCGACAGAAGGATAGGGATCCGGTCTGAGGCGACTTCCAAGCAATCAGCAGGTAACCCGCCTTGGATTTAACCAATCTGAAATCTGCACTCGGAGGATCAGCAATCAAACTATCCACAGAGACAAGATTAACATTACCCTTTGCTTTAAACCACCAAGTTGCTCCATACTTAACAATGAGAAATAACTGATCAACATCTAAAATTTTAATATCGAAAACAATCTTATTTCTCATCAACCATATTGATTAATTTAAATCATATTTAAATTTATTAATATTATAATATATAAAATTAATATATTATTTATAATTCAAATATATAAATTATAGAAACAAAATGTGACATAAGGATAAAAAGTTTAGAATTTTTTCTTTGCAAATGAATGGAGTCCATGTAACATAAGGATAAAATCATAAATATGCTTTTAAAAGTAATTAGAAAATGAAAAAAAATGAATTTTTCTAATTTTTACTTGTTGATTTAAAATTATCCATTCAAATGTATTTATCCATAAGGGTAAAAACATAACCATGGAAGCCCCTGTACTATATATCAGATTATATTTCGGTAGCTTTATTTGTAACGTACAAGGGGTATGTTTATGAATTTTTTAAGTAGAGCTACCAAAATATAATCTGACATATAGTACAGGAGCTTCCATGGTACTTTTACTTCTTAAACAGGTTTCAATTTTTAAAGCGTTCCTCTTGCAACCAAACAGAAGGTCTTATCTTATGTTGCCTTTAAACCTGGAATAAGGAAGGAAATAAAGCAGTGAAATTGTGCAGCAGCCATTGATGGGAAATCCAAAGAAAGAGCTGCTAAGAAAAGCGCCGTGGAGGGTCGATGACGAACAAGACAAGTTCGCCGATGCCAAGTTCAAGGTTACCAAACAGCCGGGCTCCACCGCCAAAATGCACGTCCCTCGCCGCAAGTCCGCCTCTTCCCGAATTGACGACGACGACGACACCCTCGAGATTGACCCTGAACTCCGTTACAGCTTCCAGCGCAACTTCCAGGTCATTTTCTCGTTCGCTTCATTCTGTGTTTGTTATTATATTTGATTCTAAAGGAAACCCAGTTTGAGAAATCATTGTTACGCATATTGGGTCAGGTTTTTCACAATTGGTTTATATAATTTCTCCCGGTAGTCTAATTATGGCTCTTATTGACTGGTTTGCTATTTCAGAATCATAATAGACTAATTTATTTTATATTCAAACAATAAGGTATTCCCAAGTTAAGATTTTAGAATCCAAGGTAATCTTATGTTCAATTTCGTAACTGCTAAAATTTGACTGATGCAAGGTTGAGGAATAATTACATTCCTAAATGATTACTGGAGAACTTCTCTGACACCACTGTTTTAGTGAAAGAGTCATAAAAGACATACCTTCTCTATAACCACGATATGAATTATGATAAAATCACATTATACATCAAACTTGTTGAGGAGAAGTGTTGTGTTCCCCAGTTTTGGTCCTTTGCCCCTCAGTTTTTGTCCTTTCTGAAAAGTGCGTTGCTTAACATTACCATTCTACTTTAAAAATATACTTTTTGTTTTTGGAGAGTGGTGTTGTAGTCTTTGTTACTTTGACTTAGATGTACCATGTTCAATTTTTCCCAAGTTTTCTTTGTACTTAGAAGGTCCTTGGAGGGTCATATCTTCATATTCAGTTTTGGATTTGTGTTGGACATGAGTACTTCAAGAAAGAAGAATCAGAGCAACTTTGTTTATAGGTAATCAGCAGACTATATATTTTGATCACAATCTGCAGTCTTGATCTCAATATGGTAAATCTTGTTGTATTTCAAACTGAAGAGGGTATTCAACCATTCATACACTTTTCATTTTGCATTTTCTTCTCATGGGTGCTATGCATAGAGCTGGTATAGCCCTGAATATATATTTTAAATTCCTAGTTTCTGTTTGCTGCTCATATTTAATATCAATTACAAACATGACATTTTTGTCATACTATTCGATGTTTTTTATTGCATTAACCTAAAATTTAGTCTCATTTTGAGGATAGTCCTTTGCTAGTCAAATTACTTGGACTTGATTCATCATTTTCAATCCGAGTTGAGCACCTGTTAGGGGTTCTTCAATATCCATGTTTTCTGATGTTTTGTTCATGATTATGTTGCAGCTCAATACATCAATCTCTTCATGCATTTGTTTGTTTGTTTTCAGAGTTCAGCATTCTAAAATTTTATTCATTTTCTACTTGGATGCATTTAAGTTGAACAATTTTGCAGATTTTCGTGAACCCAAAGAAGACATTTGCTGTTTGTTTCCCCCCTTGATCTCTTGATTGTTGCTTAAAGCAACTGAAAATAAAATCATCAAAAAGGAAGAAAAAGATTCCTAAAGTAGGTAATTATAATAAAAGGTTTCCTAGGGCCTTATGGCGTATCATTTATTGCATGAAGTCATCTTCAAAAGTGTGCTGTTTAATGGACCTTGGTATAAGCAAAAGGAGATTATCATAGAAGTTTACTTCAATTATCAACTTTTGGAGAAATTTTGATTTTAAAACTTAAAAGAATGATTGTGCTTAGTAAACATTAATATCACTGAAATAGTTAATAAAACTGTGCTATTTTCTTAATTACAGTCTGATACTGTTGTTGAAACAAATAACTGTTTGCTGCATATCCAAACTTCCATTTTAGTAGCTGATAAGTCGAAATGCCGTTGTTGTTTTTTTATGTCTTCTATATGTCCCTATTGAGTATTGTTCATTCTCTTCTTAGATGAGTATTCTAACATTTTCATGCTCATGCAGTTTCTGCAACGAGTTTTTAGCATAGACACTGTTGTGAAGCCTCTTCCACCTGCTATTGCATACAATGTTTCTCGCAACTTGAGCTTCTTCAAACGCATATTCACTCAGTTTTTTGGTGAGATTTTTTATTTGCAAATAAGTAATTGGTAGCTCAAATATTGAACATTAATATCAATGAATTATGCTCTGTATTAAGGTTGTCTTGGATTCCCATCCTTCTCTTCGGTACTCTTGTCTAACACTCGTAAATGTGTCCAACACGTATAGACATGGGTATGGATATACGACTCACCAAGATCCCCCAAATACATGTAAACACTTGGATGAAAAATTGAATATATATCCATATTGAACACATACTCATGTATGACACTAACACTGAAGTCAAGGTAACATAGATTTTAGGTCATATACTCGTATTGGTTTAGAAGCATGATTCCTACTCTTTTAATCACAAATGTCTCTTCCATGTCTGAGTCTAATGTTTTTGATTGGTAGCTTACGACACAGTTTAGTTGCACCCCTGGACATTAGAAAATTTTAATTATTGTGCTAGAATTCAAGTGAGTTGGATTTGTCATGTCTGACACTGAGTATGCTCATTTTCTAATACGTTTTCTCCTTGTAATTGGAGGATATTTGAAGTCATGTCCCTATATATAAGATAGATACAAATACTTTAACAAAATGAAAACTTGTAGTAACTGGTTCTGATTATCTAGGCAATGGCCTAGAAAGCGCCTCCGGCAGTCGATGGTCATCAATTTCTTTGAAGTTATGCACTCTTAGTTAACAAAAAATTATAACCCTGTGGGTTTGTGTTGTTGCAGATCCTGAAGGTATTGCAAATGCACAGAAATCACTCGGGTTGGGACAGGAAGAAAAGGCTCGTCGCGTGCGTTAAAGAGATGAAAGAGCTAGCAGCATGCACACATTTTGATTTTCAATCTGAAACTGAATTTTATGATTTGAATCCTTTGTGTGGTTAGGGTATCTAAAATCCCATGACTAGCAGCGGATACATGGAAAATGCAACTCTCAATCTTTCTTGCTGAACTGTAGATTTATTAAAATCATCAAAATTCTGCTCCAAGATACCAACTATTGATCATGAATAAGCTTCTAGTAGAATTGTACTAGGCTTGAGTTATCCCTCCAAGCTAGAAGATTTATTTATTATTTGATTTGACTCAAATTTAAACTAATCGAACAATAAAAATTTGTCCAAGGCATTATCTCTGGATTTAGTTATCCACTCAAATATCTGTACTTTGGACACTAAAATATCTATACAAAGAAAAATTAAGTTGTACAAAAACAATGTATGCGGAGGGTCCAGCTTGGAACAATCGATATCTTATTGGAGTATAGCTCTTAGGCTGAGTTGAGCTTGGATAGAAACTATTTACAACATTTATATATTTGTAAATAGATAGTTGAAATATTCTTAGGCTCAATCATACTATATTTTTTCTTTAAATTTTTAAAAAATTAAAAATATTATTTTTTAATTATTGTTTAATGGTTTTATACATTTTTAGTAAATATTAAAAAAAAACATGAATAAATTATCATTTTTAGAAATTGTGGGTGCCCCTCGTTCATTTATTTTAATAATCTAAGTAAAGACTAATTTTGTTAAATCGTGTATGAATGGGGTAAAAAATAATTTCCCCTCAAATATTTAGCGACATTATATTCTCAAGATCTCATGTTCAAAATTATAGTTAAACTAGAAAAATTATGTGTCAGTTGATCCGAACACTTTATGGTAATCTAACATACTCTTACATCACATATTATTCGTTATTTAAACAATTCCTAAACTACTCTTGGTCTTATAACCTGTTGCGTGTAAAGTGATTTGCAACTCAAGTAATAATAATGGTAAATGAGATTGTTTCCACAAGAATTGAAGGAACTTAAGTAAATGTACTCAAAGATAAATAAAAATATCATATGTGAAGTGATATTAACAAAGTAAATAAATGTTGCGGTAAAAAGATGTCGAGAACGGAGATTTACAAATTAAGACAATGAGACTTTACACGTCTTGAATGAAGACAAGAGATAAAAGGATACGTTTCCTATGTTTTCCTTAACAAATGTCTAGCATCTTACCATCAATACACTGTTCGAGAGAATAGTCTAGGTTGTTTCTACACTATCTTTAGCAAGAAATCAACAATAAAAACACTAAGATCATACATTTTTGTGTGTGTCCTAATACATTATTATCTTTAAAATCTACTCCTTTTAGTCATTAAACCCTATCCTAATCTTTAATGTGAGTTAGAGTTAGAGTTAAACTTAACATCCCAAACTCATTGTTCACATGGATCTATGCTTAACTCTCTCGAATATTAAAACATCTAACTAAGTGATAGTCAATTCTCGAAGATTCTCACTTAAACAAAACAAGCAACCAAATGAACAAAGCAAGTATTAACAATAAAATGCTAAGACATTCATTAAACATAAACATAATCACCTATAGTAAATCCAGGCCAAGATAAACCAGTTCATAGTTGGACAGAAATCATCAACGACAAAATATTCAAGTGACATTTCAAGAAATAATAAAATAACTAAAGAATAAACTAAGAATAAGTAAACTCATGAGCTGCTGTGAGCTGATCCACACCTTGCAAGCTTCTCTCGAGAGCTGCATGATATTCCTTGGAGCATTTAACAATGGGGTTCATCCAAGATGAAGAATAGGAAGAAGATAGTTGTCGCCCCTATTTCTTTCTTATCTCACAAATTCCAGTTCTACTTTAATTTGTGGGTGTCTTTTGCTTTATATATTGGAGGCTCCTAGGGTTTTGTGCCCTAATTATTTGTATGCCTTGGAGAAAAGATTCCCTTCACGTGTAGGTCACAAATGGCTGGGGGTAATCTGTACAACTATAAAAATATCTTAATTTTATATTTTTTGCGCTTAGAAATGTTATTCAAAATATTACAACATTTCATCAATTCTTCTATTTTGTTCAAACCTTCACAAATCACTACCAAACACTATCATTCTCTCATCGTAACACCATTTTATTTAAAAAAAAAATAAAGACGAACAAACTAATTCCACCACTTGTATAAATTATGCAACTAAATGAATTGAAATCAAACAATAATCCAAATAAAAAGGCATGGAATATACCATTTTTACGGGTTAACAAAACCCTTAAATAAAAGATAACTATGTTTAACTACATTCAAATTTATCTTTTTCTAAAAGATATCATTGAAATAATACTGTCACACCCAACTTAGGGCCTAAATTTTTTTAAAAACTTTTCGAGAACTACATTGAAATTTTAACTAAATTCAGGGACCAAAGTGAAATTTTGATTAAATTCAGATCCAAATTCAGAAAGTATCAAAAAATAGAGGACGTATGACATAATTTTACCATTTTTCATTTTTATGGAATATATATACCTAAATTTGGAAAGTTTCCTCTTTTAGAAGCCTCATTCTCTCCCTCTTCAAGCTTTCCTCTTTTAGTAAAAATCTTTAATCGACGTTTCGTCACTGATCGTTATTCTATTTTCGACATCTCCTGCACCATCGTGTTTCTTGAGTCGTCTTGAGTCCACCTATGTCCATCTTGTCTCCATTGTCGCCGGCGTGTGAGGGGGTGAGGAAAGTCAAGTTTCTAATGTTGCGAAATCGAGCTCTCTATCGTTCACCGCTGTGAACCAAGCTTGGTAAGTGTCTCAAAACCCCTTACAATGCATATAGGAATTTTTTTCACAGTTTTTTCGACCCCCGAAGGCCCCGCACATGATGCCACTACGCGTGGGAAAGTCTCCTCGCCTGGTGGGTTTCTAGAAAGTGGGCCGACCCGACCCGTCTGTCTGGCCCGATCCAACCTAAACCGAACCGGTCAGCTGTTGACCGTTGACCGTTAAGCATTAACCAGTGTTGATTTTTTTTCTTTCAAAAACCTCTATCTTGATTTTTTTCGATGTCCTAAGTCCGATTTTGTGATCCGTTTTGCCAAATTATGACTTGAAAGCCCTGAATCAAGCACATTAATCCGAAAATGCTTAGTATTTTTAGCATTTTTGCTTATTTATTTGAGATTTGGTTATGAAATTGATTCGAGAAAATATTTTTAAGAAGGTACTCGTGTTTTACCAATCGAGGGTCGGTTAGATCCGATAACTTTCGTTCGTCAGATTCACTCGATTCGCGTTCTTCGAGAGTCACTCGTAGGTTTATTATAAATTGTTTAAATATAGATTATTATTATCCATATTAGGATTTTGATATAGATTTTCTGATTCATAGGATCTAGCACTGCCGTTAATCGTGATCGACAGACTCAATAGTAGACTTCCCTATCAGACTACTCAGACCGATACAAGTGTGTTTCCTGATAGTGTTACATTACTGTTTAAATTATTCATGTAAATTGTTTTAGATTTATGATGATACTGAATATTTTTACGAGACAATACCTGATTTTCTAAGTATTGTTTATCTAATATTTGATTTATTGTATATTTTTGATATGATATCTAATTATTGTATTTCTTTATCTGATTTTTGAGCCTGGAATATTTTCATGTTTTAATGGATTAAACTATCGTTTTCACTCGAATACATACATGTTAATTACTGCCATTACGAGTATTATTGGAGGAAGTATATCATGCCTAGTCTATGTGTAACACCCCACCCCGCATCCAACTCGGATCCGAGTCCGAGGTGTCACATTGACTTTTCAAAGCATTTACTTTTACAAAGTAACTAAAAATTTCATTTGACATTTATTATAAAACAAAATAATTTCTATTATATAAAACATATGGTTTTACAAAACATATCAGAGCATATTCAACTCAATTCTCTTAGTACATGCCAACTACATACAATATACCAAAATACATAATCATAACCATTTTTTTCTGATCTGACCTTCGATAAGGAGAAACTGACATGTCTTGCTCCTCTCAGCTCCTTAATCTTTTCGGAACCTACGTGTGAAACATATACACGCTAAGTCGATAACTTAGTGAGACATATAAAATGAATACGAAAAAATTTAATTATCTAACAATGCACAAACAATTCACACACTAATATTATGCAAAATCATATAACAATTCATATGACCATTGCAAACATACATATATTTATACCATAATTATCATTATTCACACTATTATTATTATTATCAGTATTATTTGCATTCATTCTTTTAGTCTTATGATCTTATTCTTAACACTTATGCATATCATATCATACATTCCACAAGCTAAACAAATAGCATTACACAAGGTTTCTCATGTTATATCTTTTATGAGCCCGTGTACACATGTGAGAACTAAAGATATGTGAGTACATAGAGGTTGTGCACATATGTTGTCACCACAGCTCGTATAATTACCACTAGGGGCACGTAGGATTTGTCCCAAATGACCACTATGTCCCGAAGGACCACATATCACATATGTCCCGAAGGACCACAACTTAAAAACTATATACATATTCCAATGGACCAAATAAGTGTACCGAAGTACCGCATATATGTTCCAAAGGATTACACATATGTCCCGAAAGACCACGTAGAACTCTCGACTCTTGGCATGCCAACTATACCTCTAGCTCTCATGACACATAACATGGGCATTATCATTTATCTTATTTCACATAGTCATAACACATAGACACATATTCACATGGCTTATCTCATATGCATATGTTCACATACTTTATACCTTTTCACACATGGTCACATAGGTCAATATTAGATAGCTTATTTCACCTTTCATATATTCATAGAGTTTATTATCACATCATTGATATCATAATCACATCACATACATTTACACATATCATATAACATGTACAACAACACATCACACATGTACTCATATCAATAACATGCTTATATACATTATTTCATGCATCATAATATAGGAAATAGACTTGTCGCAAGTCTTATTTCCATTCATCATCATATACTAACTAATATGCACTCACCTGACCTCATTAGTCAATATCGATCTCTTATCATTTTCCCGATGACTATTACTTGTCGACTTGTCCGGATGTTGCTCTCGATCGATATCTACACAATC